AAGAGCAAATCCATCGATGCGCAGCTCCACAGGTCCTGAAGTCATTAGAGATTGTGAGCCTAAACATGGTGCTTATTTCAGTTTAGCGTGCTCTGATGTCTGTCGCTTAGATGGTGTATTCACATAGTGTCCCATATGTGCTGCAGGAGTAATGAGGACATAGTAATAAAAAAAGATTAATTCACACTTATTTAAATGTCTTTGGGAGCACAAACCAGCGCACACATTCAAGCTTCAGAGGGCAGAACAGAAGGACGGGGAAAGGAAAACGATGAAAATAGACCAAGATATATGGGAAAACATAGACATAAATACACAGACTGATTAACTGAATACAAAACAAAGGAAAACGAAAACATAAAGAGTCCCAGGTCACAAGTCCCCTCTAGAAAGGCATTTCAGCACACCTACAGGAACAACTGTAGAGGGAGGGGGGCGTAACCACACGAGGAGCCAGGAGGGTCTAAGGGAGGAGGAGCCTTGGGGAGGAGTGGCTAATAACTCATGGGGGATGACCATTGGAGACGCAGCTGATGGATATGAGGCATAATCCAAAAGTCGAAGAAGTGCAACAAGTGACAAAGGCAAGCTGGAGAGACAAACAGAGCATGGCTGAGCTGGTGGGATGATGGGCCCAGGTAGAGATGAGAGGTAAGCCAAGGTAGAACCACTGGGTTGAAGAATTGAGGTGGAATCTTCCGCTCTGGACAGGCTGGTGGACTGGCTGGAGGGATGGAGGGAACAGATACAAGTAGGAGAGGAGAGGGAGGGCTGAGCTGGATACTGCTCAGACCAAGAGTTCAGGGCTTGACACATTTTAACTGTTGAGAACAGGATATAGTCATTGCAGGACAGAAAATGTTGAAATAGGGCTGAATGGAAACAACAGGAGCACAGGAGCATCACTGCTGAACAGAACCAGTGGGTAATGAGGAGAGTCATTGCTGAACAGAACTAGCATGGAGATTAAAGAGTCATTGCTGAACAGAACCAGTGGGTAAAGAGGAGAGTCATTGCTGAACAGAACTAGCATGGAGATTAAAGAGTCATTGCTGAACAGAACCAGAGGGGGGGATTGGAGAGTTATTACTGAACAGAACCAGCAGGGACACAGGAGCATCATTGCTGAACAGAACCAGTGGGGACACAGGAGAGTCATTGATGAATAGAACCAACAGGAGCACAGAAGCATCATTGTTGAACAGAACAAGTAGGAGTAGATGGAATTTGTTGCTGAATAGAACCAGCAGGGGCACAAGAGCGCTATTGCTCGACAAAACCAGTGGAGACACAGGAGCGTAAATGATAAACAGAACCAGTGGGGCACTGGGGAGTATTTGCTGAACCAATCGAATCTGTTACTCTTCACAGTAAAAAATGTAGGCTTCCACACTATTCATACCTTAACACTTTAACAAAATTATGTGGATTGAATATAAAAAAATTAAGTTGTCCTAATGAAATATCAAGAATTAGTAGGTGAACAAGAAATTAGTTTTAACAAGTAAAAAAAAGAAGCTTTTTTGAGTGTTGATGACAACATCTCTCTCATGATGGTTTGGCACAAGTTTAAACACTGCACTGTCCTCCAAGAGCCTTATTACAGAACTGAGTGGCACAGTCAGACTAAGGGATAGTGTACAGTCAGCAGATTGTTAAGCAAAATAAACATTTAAAAAGAATTGGTCATTATGGGGTGGCGTGTATTTGGGTCAGGGAGAGGCTGCCTAAATGTGTTGTTCCCCATAAAATGGGTGACTGGCAGATAAAGCTTGGGAACCATTGATCTAGATGACATGCAGACTGTGTGTGAATGCATCAATACATAAATAACCACCAAATGTACCCATAAGGCCATTCCATCAGTCCAAAGCTTACTTTTGCTTCTACAACTGAAAAAAACAAACAACAGAAAAAACAAAACAAGACAAAGAAGAGGAATCTCAAGAAAAGGTCAAAAGAAAAAACATTTATATGCTCATAAACATTCAAATTGTTTCCACAGCTATTGCCGCACAGACAACAACACCTGGATCACTGAGCACTGAATCACAGAACAAAGATCAAACAACCACTGATGTTCCCACATCCAAAAGGACAGAGACACTGCCAACCGCTGTCAACACAGCCTCTGAAGATTCAAAAATAACTACTGAAAGAACATCTGCAGAACCTTCGACACCAACTGTTGTACCAACAACCCTTTCTACAAATGATGTTTCGACCATTGTTGAAGCTTCAACTGTTACTGAAAGTCACGCAAGTGAATCATCTGCAGAACCAAACACTACAATTCCTGAAACATCAGCTAATGTTCCTTCTTCAATCGAGGCACATACAGCTACAGTTAGTCTTTCTACAAATGCTGTTTCTACAACAGTTGAAGCTTCAACTGTTACCGAGAGTCCCGCAACTGAATTATCTGCAGAACCTAACACTACAATCACTGAAGCATCAGTTAATGTTCCTAGTACACTCGAGGCACATACAGCTACAGTTA